AAAATAAAAAAGAATAGACATAATTATAAAATAATCAAACTATTTTTGTGTTCCTGTGCCCAGGAACACAATCTTTACAAATACTTTTACAGTAATCAAGGCACAAAGGTTTTGAACATTTTACACAGAAAAATGTTGTGAGACGGGATTTTTGTTTGTAAATTGCACGGACTACATCTTTTTCTTTTTTGGATACCTCCTCATTTTCGTGTAGCACAGGAGCAGGGATATTTTCAGGATCGGCATCAGGCAGAACTTCTACGTTTGTCACTTGTCGTCTTTGGATCTCAGGTTCGGTTAACTGCTTAGCCAGATCATGTAAAAAACTTTTTCTACTTTTCATTTTGTTTTGGTTTCCAACAAAAAGTATTTGTGAATTAATCCCAGAAGCTTTTAGCATAGAAAAAAACACCACCATCGATTAGCGTTTTGTGTTCCGGGCAACGTTATAGCTTGCACACATTCTGTCCACAGTGTCTACTCCACCTTTACTTCCGTTATAAAATGTTATGATCTCCTGTTTCTGTTGTTCATTTGTTGATAAGTCTATTGTATCATCAAAATGCATACTTGATAATAAAATAACAGTTTTGTTCAATTTGACTTTGATATATCTGATCTTTGATATATTTGAATACACTAGGTATTTGTGGCTTATTTTTCTTCAGAGTGCCTACAAGAGAGTTACTTTTGCCTAAGATCTTCTACTAAATTGTAGCTTGTAAACCAGTTGTCAATCGTGACGTTACGGCCAGAATAATTAATAGGAGTAACAAGTCTCTTGACCACATCAACTGGTTTATTGCTTATGCCATATGGTCCTTCTGGTTGTTGTCCAGCATATATCTCCCTATTATAGGTATAAGATAGTTTTGCGTCTACAAGGGCAAATATTTTTATGCCATATTTAGCCGGCTTAGAAGGTATATCCTGGCGAAAAGAACAGCGTCCTCTAAAACCTTCCAATTTCTCATCAATAGTCACGAGTTGGCTCAAGGAGACTGTTTTTTTGCAATTTGTTAAAAATGTCTTGAAAATATTCCTTATTGCTGCCAAGCGGTCGATTTTTTTTCTCTCGTCTCTTCTTTCCCTATCATCAAACCTCAAACAGCGCATTATAAAACGAAATCTCCTGAAACTCATGGTCTTTTTAAACCTCTGTATGCCATCCTCAGACATAGTTCATCTAAACTTAGTCGATTGGCATGGTAAACGCCAGCTAAATATAACAAGCCAATAACTGCCTTGATTTCAGAAATATTGGTTATCTTAGCATCTCTAGGTCAGGTAAATTGTATTTGAATACTTTGAATGTATTTGTTGGTACATTCAACAATCTCCTGCTGCATTGTATCGTCAATCAATAAGTTCCAAGTTTCGTATATCCCATTAGCATGTTTAGCAACTTCAATTACCCCAGGTAGTTGCATAAGAATATTTTGAGAAAGGTTTCATCTTCTTTGTGAACGGGGAACTTTTTGCTATTTCCACTCATTCACTACAACATTCTTTTTCTTTTGAGCACCAGTAAAATGAATGCATTTTCTTCTTCGTCTTCTTCACTTGCACAATAATCACTTTGTTCCCTCTCAGAATTTTCTTCCCGGTCCTCAAAACAAACAGACGCGTCTGTATCACTGTTTTCATCTTCTATATCTACTTTTTCATCTTCATCATCACTTTCCTGTTGTAACAATAGATTTCTTAGCTCCTCACAGTGCTTTTCATTGTTTAAATCATACTTTTGACGTCGAAATTCCATTTTATTGCCTAAAAACAATAAAAGTTACGTTAACTGTCACATGTATCTCCTAGATACATATCATATTTTTTATTATCAGCCAATGCAATTGAAGGATGTAATTTCACACACCAAATAACTATTCAATTTACCTTTAAAACTAGTAAAAATATGCAAAGAAAAAACATATTTATAAAACTTACCGCAAGAGTCGCGTGTATCTGTGAGATACAAAACGCCAATATTTCAAAACCACTTATATGTACCAAGCCGATTCGTGCACTATTCGAAAGATGCCATCAAGCGAGGAAGCTACTGAAATAGTGGGAGTAGTCGGCGCCTAAACTATCTGAGAGGGGGAAATAGAAGCACTTCATGTATCTATCAGATACACGCGACTAACAGAAGTCAATATGAGCCTAGTTTTGTGGATCGTCATGGTAATCATTCATTGAACGTGATGCTTGTATGTGGTCCAACAATGAAGTTTTATTATGTAAATGCCAATTGGCCTGGTAGCGTAAGCGATGCACGAATTTGGAGGCGAAGTACACTTAGCATCAGAATGGAAGATGGTTGGAGTCCTTTTCCAAATGCCGTACTGTTAGGTGGTTCCATTTATCCTTTAAAGCCTTGGCTTATACCATCTGTAATTCGTAATGCAGAAGAACCTGCACAACAAAGATTTTTAAGAGCACACAATAGTACAAGGCGAGTTATTGAATGTGCCGTTGGTATTTTGGAAGAAAAATTTCCATACCTCAACCATTTAAGATTAAAACCTAGATTTGTCTGCGAGGTAATAAAATGTTGCATTGTGCTCTACAATTTAACAAAAGTAGATGTTGAGAGGTATAATAATAGAGAATAAAATGATATTAACATTGATATGGTAGATGACTGTGAACAATTAGCTACAGAAGCAGGTGGCGAAAAAATATTACATTATTTTTATAATCTCTTTCGGAATGCCTGAAATCATATCTATAAATGTAAAGAAAACATTTAATTTTTCAGCATAGTGGAAAATTTATTTTGTATATATTTTTTGATCTGGAAATAAATAAATAAATAAATTGGTATGCATTTAAAAAGTAGCTACTTATTAAACTTTCATCAGTTATAGTAATAAAATAAATAAGTGTAACATACGTTTTATTATAATGCTTTTAAAGATATTAAAAAATCCTTATTTTTCTTTAACATAAATAAACTTCCCTTCAGAATCAGTAGAATATGCAATCATAACCTGTCCCAGTTGTGTTTCGCAACCACTGATATAATTGGATGATTCAATATTCATAGTATGAACAAAATGTTTATCATTAAGTGGGCATTCTTTTTCCAAAACTTCCAGTTCCAATTTCTAAACCTCAAGCTGAAGTTTTTTTATTATAAAAGAATAAATGTTCTTAGCATAATCTGGTAGCTGAACGATAACTCTTTTCTTACCTACAAAAATAATATATGTAATCATCTGAATTAGAAACTAGGTTGACTTGTTTTGAAATAATTTTAGTCACTTTATAGTCTTACCTCTACATGAACTTTGTTGAAGCGAGCACTTGCTTTTTGTGGTGACATCTTCATCGGTTTCATTGGGCATAGAATAAATAAATTCCTGGGTAATGTCTTCGGAAACAGTTTCCATTGAATCAGGTACGCCAATTCCTTGAACAACAGAAGATTCCTTTCCAATTATTTCTATCACTAGTTTATCAGTGTCATCTAATTTTGTGCGCCAGTTTTATTTGATTGGTCAATTTTTGTCTGTAATCAAATAAAAATCATTTATATGCTTTATAAGTGAGGACGGCTCAGTAGTACAATTAAAAACAATTAGCATTAATTACACAGGATGCAAAAATAGTTTTAAAATTGTCCAAATAACTTATTTATAGTGTATTTTTTAGTGCTGATTTCAAAAACAAAATACAGAATATCTTACAAGAATGGTGTATTTTAGGTAAAAAAACTAAATTTTACGCTAAAGTTTCTAAATTTTAATAAGCAGATGAAAGATGTGATGGTTTACATATTATACACAACAGAATATTAAAAAAATGCATAACTATAAAGGCCAAAGTGCTTGTAAAATATAACATAAATGGTATGCTGACCACCTTAAGTTGGATTACAGTCAGACAAAAATTTTATTATTAGGCAAAGACTTTTGTTTATAAAGCAAAAAAAAACTTCCTAAGTACTTCAATGATTTTATATCTACAATAATGAAATACATAACTACAATACAAGATATGTTAATAATTTTTATATTCCACAAACAAGACTAGCTATAGCAACAAAATCTATTTTTATATGTGGATTACGTGAATTTAATGCTTTGCCCAATGAAATTAAAACGAGTAGGTACCTCTTTACCTCAGTTTAAAAAATGTTTAATACAATTTATTTCCAGTCCATAAATTAAATTAACTTTATAACTTTGTATGTTCACTTTATATTTACTTTAATATGTATTTATTTTATTTTATTTTATTTTAAATTTAATACTAAACGTCTTTTATTACTGATTTTATTACTAATTCTATAAAGATTTTATTTTATTTTATATTTATTTTATTTTATTTATTCAACTGAATTTGTGCAGACTGACGATAATTTGTAATATTTTTTAAAAAACTACTATGTATTAGGACTTCCTATATTAAATAAAGATTTTTCTTTTACAAGAGAGTAACAAATAGTTGTGACGTTTTCAAATATTATTACCCCCAACTAGTGATGGGTAAATTTCCGGGAACCAAGTGTTCGGGAAATTCCCGGGAAATTTTCCCGGGAATTTCTCCGGGAATTTCCCCAAGAATTCCCGATACATTTTTGTGAATTTCAGCTTATTTTCCATTCCATCTATTCATTACGCAGACACAATCAATATAAAAATTAAATTAAAATATCAATTTTTTATTGAAAACAGCACATTTTCTTTGGCAACAAATTAAAAAATATATCTTCTTACTATAACAACACAAATAAAAAATTAACTCTAAAAAAAGTTTTCTTTGGTAACAAATTTAAAAAATATATTCTTTAACTAAAAAAAAACACAAATAAAATATCTGCCTAGTAGAATATAAAACTGTTGAGTATTATGAAAGTATGTAAAAACAAAACTAAACCTCAGTTCCTGAGCTATTAACCTCATCGGTCACGTTTTCCTCATCAGAATCAGAGTCTTGATAAGGAATTTCTTCGTCCTCCGAAGAAGTTTCTGTCTCCGTCTCCGGCTCAAAATTTATTAGTAATTTTGAAATCCTGAAAGTCCAGGTATCTCTGCTTCCGGCACTATCATGTTAAAATGCTGAACACTTTCAGTTACTTGAGTCAAACTGGAAGTAGACGGACACTCGTTTTTGTCAAGTGGTACATCCCATACAGCTGTCTTTGCTTTGTTACGCGTTCGCCAGTAATGGGCGATGTACGTTAATTTTATTGCACGCGGAGTTGTTAGCTTGTTCCTTTTCTTTGTGTGAACTGCAGAAAATGTGGAAAAAGTTCGCTCAGTCGAAGCTGAAGTAGCAGGAACAGAAAGAATTTTTACTGCCACTTTTGATAGCTGATTGTTCTGTCCAATGATTCCCTTCCACCAAACGACAGGTGTTACATTCTGTGAAGCAGTCCAAATGAAATCTTTCGCCCACATACCTTCGTGCGCTCTATAATTGGCAATTTCAACAAGCAACTGTTCATGATCAATTATTGGAGAAATGGTATCATCAGAGAAATGTGAACTTCTTGCGAAGCTAACTATGTATTCAATGGCATCGAGTTGTTCTTCAGAACTTAAGTAACAACCTTGCGCCTTTGAATCTAATAGACAAGAGGCTTTATGGATAGATGTAAGCGCATAAGATTTTCTTTCCAAATATTTATCCATAAAATTTTTTCCCTCATTTTTCTGTAATACTGAGAGTGGTAAGTTTTTCGCTAAGCTTTCTTGAATTTCACTGAATGCTTTAAAACATAGATGTATTGTATCTTCGTTGCTTTCTAACTTTAAAATCCAGTTGACTACTGGCTCCACAAGAGCTTTGGTACTTTCTGTACACACCCAGAAAATTTCGTCATCCAAAAGCGTTTGTTTTTTATCGAGGCCCAATATATTACCAGCCTCTTCTTTCACAGCCAAAGTTTGCAAACTTTCTTTACAAACAGCCATCGATTGTAAGCAAAACAAGTGTAAACCCCAACGGGTAGTAACTAGTAAAACCAAATTCTTGGTGCACTTTTTTGCATTTCTAATTCCATCAAAAATACTATTTAACACTTGTGTTTTATACATTTAATTATATCTTTTACTTTATTTATGAAGGAAATCATTGCTGGAAATTTTAATAAGTCCATAATAATCAGGTGCAATGTATGTGCCAAACAGCCAATGCTTGAAATATGTGGAAAAATCTCGCTAATAGAAGCTGTAGCCTTTTTCATATTAGCTGCGTTATCAGTTATGATAGCTATACACTTATTAGGGTTATACTGATTGAGTACATTTACAGTTTCTGTAGCAATATATTCTGCAGTATGGCGATGTTCTTTTGTCTCCAAACTTTTGATGCAAAACGTTTTTTGCTCTGCTGTTGTTATAACAAAATTAGTGATGTCTTCTGACCTTATATTCGACCATCCATCTAACTGCAAAGCTAAATGCCAGATTCAGTAATAGCCATTTCTACATCATTCTTGACTTCTTCATAATGAGAATCCAATAATGTAGTTGACAATGTTTTTCTTGTTGGAAGAGCGAAAGCATAAGAGGGACGTAAGAAATGTAAAAAATCTTTCCAAAATTGATGTTCTACCATGGAGAGAGGGCTTTCTGATGCAAATATTGCTTTTGCTAGTAGGTTGTTAGCTTTGGCCTGCAAAGAAAAATATGTTGCGCCTTAGTTAAAAATATTTTTCTCAGACACCAATACATTAGTCTCATTCCATTCCATACTATAAAGCATGAAGTAAAAAATCTTAATATTACTTATTTTTAGTGCCATAATTATTAAAATAAAGATCCCTTGACTACTTGTCTTAATGTTGATTTTTAAAAATATACTATCAATATACAATACAAAACAACTACAACCAAACGATTATAATAAAATAATTTTACCTTCTCAGAAGCACTCATATGATCAAAAAATGTTGAAATGTCTCTTGACCTTGACCGACTTGACTTAGATGATGTAATGGATGTTGCAACGGTGGGTGTGGTTGTACATGTAATATTCGAAACATCTGATGTTGCAGTAGGGGTTGATCTAATCGGACTGACATGGACAACACTAGCAGTTTTTTGGCACTTTCAGATTTATTAAGCCCCTTCTTTAAACCGCTTCTAATTTCACTCGGGCATTTACTACATTTATTTAAAATGTGCTTAGTCATTTTTGTTATATTTTTCACTGTATACAACAAATTGCAATGATTGCATTTAAAACTCGTTTTAGTTCCTTTAAGTAATGGAGTAAAGTTGTCCATAACTCTTTTTAACGATTTCTTTCGCTTGTTCATTTTAGTTTAGAGACAATAATGCACAACTAACACCTACAATTTTTATAATACCTACTGAGCTGAGTCAGCAGTTAGCCAGACGCGACTACAAGTCCTGACATGTCTAAAGGTATAAACAAAAAGTAATAGTCAACAGTGTTGTCAGATTTAAAAAACTGCACATAATATTACGAAATTGTATGAATTCTTCTATTTCTAGAGAAATTCCCGTTTTTTTCCCGGGAATTCGGGTTTGGAGAAATTCCCGGGAATTTTCCCGTTCCCAGTGGAAATTCCCCGTGGAAATTTCCCGGCTACCCATCACTACCCCCAACTACTTTAAATAATTCGTTGCTTTAATTTTTGTTATTATACCATTAGTTTCTATTTTTAAAAACTTATATTTTGGAATATTTTGTTGATTTATTGAAATGGGAATAAAAGCGTTTTATCGAAATTGATCGTTAAAGCCATATGATCAATAAACATTTAACAATATTTATATCTTTTTCAGCTTTTTACTTGAGATCTTTCCATGTTTTGTCATGGTACAGGATGACAGTATGATTAGCAAAATTCAAGATTTGTCCAGATGTTTCTATGGTGTATAAGTCATTTATGTATATTATAGAAACAAATAACTTATCAAAAAAAAATATTATAAAAACCATAACCGGTCCTTGCCATGATATTATATTGCGGTGAGCTCATTAGGTTATTTAATTAACAACTGCTCTGTTAGCTGCAAAAGGTTTCGCCTTAATGCGGCTATCGTGGGTTCTACCTTTTATCTCAGGGAAGAAAATGCTTGGTAAATAAACATTAAATAATAAAATAATATTTCTTGATTGATTAGGTTTATTCTTTTAGTAATCAATTTAACCGTTCAATAGATATGTACAGAGTAAATCAAAGGATAATTATAACCATCTATCTCCTGTTGTAACGGCAACCATATAATACACATTATAAGAGATAAAAAGGGAGATAGATAAAACTACCGCTAGTGTCGACACTTTTGGCTCACAGCTAAATTTGATTGAATCAAGGGACTTCATGCACTTATGGGTAAGTTTACTTATATTTAACTTAGTTAAACAACTATAATAATTATTTATACAGGGTGTTTATTAATTGAGTGCCGATTCTTAAGGGTGTGAATCCGTAGGTGATTTTAAGAAAAAAAGTTAATATCAACATATGTCTTAACTCACTTAATTTTTGAGCTACAGGGTGTTACAGTTTTAAGAAAAAAATTTTTTTATCATAATTTTTTTATCACTCCAGATATTTTTATGAAATTTTGTACACACATTTAAATAATTAGAGAGCATTTGTTGACGTATAAGATTTTTTAAATTTTCACCAGTGACGTCCGTACGGGGTTTGAACTGAATATTTTTGAAGAAAAAAATGGTACGCCACTGCTTATTCTAAAAACCAAAATTATTTTTGAAATCACCATTTATTTTGGAGCAAACTTGGTTTATAGACTTACTTTCGTACGATGCACCGTTTTCGCGTAAAAAAATAAAAACCATTGTAGTGGTTGGTCAAATTTTTTCCTTTAATTCATTGATACCTACTGCTTTTGATATTTTGTTAAAATCTGGTAGGCACCCACCATGCGTGGAAACATTTTTTTGGGACAAAAATTAATTTTCTACGTTTTGAATAGAAAAAAATGGTAAGCGCATTATTGCCCTCTTAAAGCAAATGAAATAAACATTAGTAGGCTGGGTAAAGCGTCATCATTTTTGACGTTTCTTTTCATAAAGACAATAAAGTTGACATTGATTTTACATTATTAAATAATTATTATTAGAGAAAGAGTTAAAATCTAAAAAAAAATGGTAAATTTTACGAACAGTGAATTAGTTGACATGCATTTTATTTATGGGCTTGCAGACGGAAATGCATACGAAGCCAGACGGATATACCAAGAGCGGTATCCAAATTGCGTACTACCCGATCCGAGAACATTTTCTAAGATTCATAGACGTCTTCACGAGACCGGAACTTTAAAAGTAGACCACAGGGCTAAAGGAGTCCATCAAACAGTAAGAACACCGTTCTTGAAGAAGGAATTTTACATGAAATTGAGGAGAATCCCGAAACTAGCACGAGGAGAATCGCGTCAACATTTAATGTTTCACATGTACTTGTTTGGAAAATTCTCATCGAAAATTTGTTATACCCATATCACATTCAAAGAGTTCAGGCATTACTACCTAGAGATTTCCCGTTGCGCATTAATTTCTGTGAGTGGTTTCTTCAAAACCTGCTGGAAAATCCATTATTTGGATGAAGCTAATTTTTCTCGAAACTCAATAATAAATTTCCATAATAACCATTTATGGGCGGATGAAAACCCTTATGCAATTGTTGAGTCAAATTATCAAGAACAGTTCTCATCAAATGTTTGGGCTGGCATTATTGATGATTATTTGATAGGCCGATTTTTTCTCCCAAGAAGACTTGATGGACAATCATATTTACACTTCCTTGAAGATGATCTGCCGCCAATGCTTGAAGACCTTCCTCTTTTATTAAGAAACCAGATGTGGCTAATGCACGATGGTGCGCCTCCACATTTTAGCTTACGAGTGCGTGAATTTTTAAATCACATCTATCGCAATCGGTGGATAGGTCGCGGAGAAACGCAGACATGGCCGCCTAGATCTCCCGACCTTAATAGTTTAGACTTCTTTTTCTGGGGCATCTGAAAAGCTTAGTGTACGCAGTGCCGATTCAAACCGAAGAAGAGTTACGAAATCGTATAACAGTCTGCTGCCAAACCATAAGAAACACCCCAGGAATCTTTGAAAATGTGCGTCAGTCTATGCGAAGAAGAGTAGATGCTTGCATACGTGTGGGTGGAGGACACTTCCAACAATTACTGTAAATAATTTGGGTTCTTTATTTTGTTTGTATTCTCTTGTAATTTCGTTTTAGATTCAAGATTTTGAATTTTCATTTTACTATAAATAAATCCCGATTTTTAAAATACATAGAATTTAAAAAAATCAGAGGTGTACGTTTTTTTTTTCTATCCAAACATTCAATATGATGCCTACGTGGCCGTCACTGGTGGAAGTAGAAAATTAATTTTTGCCCCAAAATAAGTGTTTTCACGCATGGTGGGTGCCTACCAAATTTCAACAAAAAATTAAAAGCAGCTTAAGAAAAAAAAATTTTGGTTTTTATTTTTTTACGCTAACACAGTGCATCGTACGAAAGCAAGTCTATGGGCCAAATTTGCTCAAAAATAAATGAATATTTCAAAAATAATTTTGGATTTTAGAAAAAGCAGTGGCGTACCATTTTTTTCTTCAAAAATATTCAGTTCAAACCCCGTACGGAAGTCACTGTTAAAAATTTAAAATAATCTTATACGTCAAAAAATGCTCCTTAATGATTAAAAGGTGTTTACAAAATTTTATAGAAATATCTGCAGTGATAAGAAAATTATGAAAAGAAATATATTTTTTTCTTAAAACTGTAACACCCTGTAGCTCAAAAATTAAGAGATTTACGACATATGTTGATAATAACTTTTCTTCTTAAAATCACCCAAGGATTCACAATCTTAAGTATCGGCACTCAATTAATAAACACCCTGTATATTTCGTTCTATTGTAGGTAGTGACGTTGTAGTGCCATAGAATAAATGGATCAATTCTACCTTAAGTCCTGGGTACCTGGTGAGCTATAGCTTCTATTACGGCCTCCTAGTGCTCTACATGCAAATTATGAGGCTAATGAGTATGAGTGTAAGCTAGCAGGTGCGTCAGG